TGAACAAAATTTATAAATAAAGTACAACTTGGTTTAGAGAAGGATAATATAAAATTCTGCTTATAGATGATCCTATTAAATATACTTTTCAGAAATTATATAGAAAGGATATTAGTTAGCAATATGGATATGGATAAAAGTTAAAGTAATAGTGATTATACAAAGAACGAAATGACTTTTCAATTTTTAAATTCTTTTTATATGCAGACCTGACAAAATATTTTTAGTATTTAGAATAACTGCCCTTTTCCTATGAAGAAGTACAGTCTAATGATATATTTCTTCATTTGTTTCTATATATTTATCTTTCTTTAGTAAATTCTTTAATTTACTTATTTGCAAAAGTATTTAAACATCTCTAGATGGCTAAATATTATTTAATGTTCTCTTTGATATACATGAATATAGAAATATTTTTCTCATTTATAAACTCATAGAAATGAAGAAATTTTCTTATTAGAAAACAGTACAACTACCTTTAATGTCAGGTAGTAACTTAAAAACTGGTAAAAGTTAGCTTTATAGACACTTGCCTGTCATGACTTGATATCCTGTTATTTGGATCAAATTTTCATTTGAATGACATTTTCATTGTTCTTAAGGTTAAAAATGCATCTGCAAATCACAATTAGCTATAGAGTTCGTGGGCAAATAGTCACTGTCTGGTCAGCATGAAAAAGACCCTATTTGTTTTTTAGGTATATTTCTATAATTATAAACATGAAATAATTATAAACATGAAACAATTAATCTACAGCAATCAGTATAGTAACTGAAATGTGACACTTTTTCATATGTCTGTCAGCCTTTAAGAGTATTCTTCTGGCCCTAACTGGTTTGGCTCAGTGGATAGAGCGTCGGCCTACGGACTCAAGGGTCCCAGGTTCGATTCCGGTCAAGGGGTCAATGGCATGTACCTTGGTTGCGGGCACATACCCAGTGGGGAGTGTGCAGGAGGCAGCTGATCGGTGTTTCTCTCTCATCGATGTTTCTAACTCTCTCTATCTCTCTCCCTCCTCTCTGTAAAAAATCAATAAAATATATGAGAAAAAAAAAAGAAAGGGTATTCTGCCGAATGCTAGTATTTCTCCAGGTGCTTCTTGGAAAATAAGACTCTATGAACAAATGTTTGGGAAATGGTGGATTCAACAAAGTGAAGCAAATTATTTTACTTTTGTTTCAGTGTCAATCTGCCAGAGGAATCTTAATTTGAGTGCTGAGCTCATTATTTTGTGTAATATCTCATGGGACTAAAGATATTGCACAGGATACATTTTGGAAAATACTTGTTCAATTTAAAAACATTTTACATGGAAAAACTTAAATGAAATAATACAAACCATAGCCCACCTGCCCTCTGATACTCTAAGTGGAATATGGGGCTGCAAGGCCAGGGGCCTTCTTGGGAAGGGAAGAGACAGGGCTGCCACAATCTTCCATTTGCCCTGCTATTAGAGTGCTATTCTTTTAGTCTTTAAAAGAATCCAAATTGAAGCAACAACAAAAAAGGGAAGAAGAATGAAAATATATTTTCTAGTATAGCAGTAAAAATAAAATTGTAGTTTTTATGTAAGGTTTATTATATGATGAGCTTAGAAAATAGCTATTTGCAAATCAGAATAATTGCCCTTTTCCTATGAAGTCATTCTGGAGGGTAAAGATTGCTTTTCTTCTATGTGAATTACTTGATTTTCTTAAAGAAAAAACAAAATGAAAATAAGGAAATCCCTGAAAAATTTGAATACAGATGTCTCCAAAAGGGTTATTGCTCCTAGGGGATCCCTCCCCCCCCACCCAATGTGTCTCATAATCTTTGTATAATTTATAAATGATAACAAAGCAATCAGGCCACATTCATAAAAGTCCAGTGACACATAATTTAGTTGAATCTGAGGATTAGAATTAATTGTCTCTCTTTGTTCCAAGTTCTAAATCTTAGTAAATGATTCACTGCATGTCATTACAGCTGAATATTTGCATGAAATCACAGTTTAGCTGGCACAATTTAACAGCAATTAAAAAGCTATTTAATTGTCATGCAAATTGATATGAGGACCCTTGAATAAGAAGGGTATCTGCCTTTTTTTTAAGTATCTCCAAGCGGACAGTCATATACTTGCAGACACCCATAACATAATTGATAACATTCTTCCTATTCAGGGAAATATAAGTGAATAATAATTCATATCTCCATTATAAATAAGACAAAAGAGCAACAATATGAATATGCCATCTGTAGGAAGACATTATTATGGTAATGATAATGTATCTTTATCTCCCAGGCATAAGTCTAGGTTGGAGGTAAAAGCTACACTTGTCCCTGTGCTCTAGTTTATAATCCCTTCCATATCTTCCTTTCTGAAGGCAGACATTTCTGTAGCCCTCTGGAACATAAAATGCATAAAGCAACGTATGCAGAAACCTTTTAGGAAAACTAACTATCTCATTTCTAGGTCTAGATGGCTGAGGCCCCTACCCATCATATTGATGATATCAGGAGCCAGCAAAATGAAAAAGGAAAATAGTCCTGGCCAGTTTGGTTCAATGATTAGAGCATCGGCCTGTGGACCAAGGGGGACTGCAGGTTCAATTCCTGGTCAAGGACGTGCACCTGGGTTGCAGGATCCCCTCCCTGGTGTGTGACGGAAGCAACTGATTGATATGTCTCTCTCATATCTGTTTCTGTCTCTCTGTCTCTCTCCTTCCCTCCCTTCCACTCTCTCTAAAAATCAATGGAAAAAATATCCTCAGGTGAGGATTAACCAAAAAAAAAAAAAGGAAAATATATAACACTTCTTATATCTCAAACCCAATACACAGTCATGTAGATTATGACTAATGTTATGCCACTCTGACACCGTCTATATAACAGATCTCACTGAGGAGTTCCCTGTCCTCATTAAGGCCATTCCCTACACAAACACTCTTTTTTAAAAAGATTACTTCATGGTGGCCAAGACATGGAAGGAACCAAAGTATTCTTCAAAGATGATTGGATAAAGAAGATGTGGTACATATATAAAATGGGAAACTACTCAGCCATAAGAAAAGGTGAAATACTTCCATTTGTAACATGGATGTATCTTGAGAATATCATGCTAAGTAAGATAAGTCAGACAGAAAAAGTCAAGAATTATTTTATTACTATGAAAATTCATGCACTGGAGGGGGGGGTCCCTCAGCCCAGCCTGCCCCCTCTCACAGTCTGGGAGCCCTCAGGGGCAGGAGGTGACCTGGTGATCAGGAGAAGGCGACGCCCCCCCATCACACCTCTGCTGCTGCCACTTCCGGCAGTGCAGACCTCAGCCGGCCCTGATTACCTGAGCCTCGGGCGGCCCTGGGTGGCTGGGCAGCCAACATCCAAGGCTTGCCTGTGCCTTGGGCTGGCCCTGGGAGGCTGGGGGGCTGAGGGGACTGGGGAACTCTGGAGGCAGGCACACAGCAAGGCTGGGTGTGCGACCCCCCCCATATCCTATATAATAAAGAGGTAATATGCAAATTAACTCTCATGCCCTCACAAGATGGCTGCCTACGACCAGGCCAGCAGGGGGTTTAGTGAGGGACGACTGAACAGGAGACTGCATGGGGCAACCAGACCATCAGGGGGGTAGTTAGGGGTCAACCAGACCAGCGGTGTGGGGTGCAGTTAGGGGTGACCAGGCCAGCAGGGGGGCAGTTAGGGGAAATCAGGCTGGCAGGGGGGGCAGTTAGGGGTGATCAGGCTGGCAGGCTGAGGCAGTGAGGGGCGATCAGGCCAGCAAGGGGGGGGCAGTTAGGGGCGACCAGACAGGCAGGCAGGTGAGCAATTAGGAGCCAGCAGTCCAGGATTGTGAGAGGGATGTCCAACTGCTGGTTTAGGCCCGATCCCCAGGATCCGGCCTAAACCAGCAGTCAGACATCCCCCAAAGGGGGTCCCGGATTGGAGAGCATGCAGGCTGGGCTGAAGGGACCCCCCCCTCCTGTGCACAAATTTTGAATTTTGTGCACCAGGCCTCTAGTATATTATAAGCATAATCTCATAAAAAGGATTCTTTGGTATTTCACATATAACACATATGGCAGTGTTTGACATCTAGTAGAACTTCAGTTAGTATTTTTCAATAAATAATATTATACTGAGGTTTGAAAGACTCAGATGAGTGTAAAAGATTACTGATAAAACTTTAAGAAAAGGCTGGAAGAGTTAAAGGATTTAAGTATGGAAAAATAGTGAGAAGGAACACTGAGGGAACATGCTCACCTACTCCTTGGGACCAACTTGGTTTATGCAGAGTCTTAGTGACAAATAAGAGATTGTGTAGGTCTTTTTATCAGCTTTTCAGAAGACACTTGTGCTTAATAAAGTTAGTCTCAATAAAAATCTAGTCACCATTTCTTATGTCCTTTTTCTCTTCCAAATAATGCTTTTATCCCATGAAATTGGCAAGGCTCTAATAGAAACCTTTCTCCTGCCTCCAGTTTCCCTTTCTCTTCCTCTTCTTCCAAACTTTCTTTTCACCCTAAATTTATGGTCATTTATTTTCAACCTGTGAGAAACAGATACTTAGGGATTGTCAAAGGTAATGAATGGTAATTTTATCTACATACCAAGCATAGTATGAAGACTGAAGGACTGAGTACATGAATATACATGTATTGTTATAACTTATACTTATGTTAATATTCCTTTTTAATTATTTGAAAATGGTGAAGTAATTATTAAGATGTAATCAAAACCTTCACATAATTTAAAATGTTTGATTATTACATATTTTCAATCCCCAAATTTAGAAAAATAGAATTGCCATATTAGATTCTAGACTATCTTCACTCCTAAAGACTCCTTTCTTACTGGACTTAATCAGATGTTATTAACCATAGGTTCTTTATGGTTCCCATCAGAAGAAAGAGCTCAAACTAATATAAAAGACCAATAAGTGTTTATTGATGAAGTTTTCAAGTTAGCACTATTAATTCACTGTCCTATACATGTACATTTGTTTTTAATTGCTTTTCTCTAGGGCCACCTTCAGCTCCTAGGAATGTGGTTTTTAACATCAATGAAACAGCCCTTATTTTGGAATGGAGCCCACCAAGTGACACAGGAGGGAGAAAAGATCTCACATACAGTGTAATCTGTAAGAAATGTGGCTTAGACACCAGCCAGTGTGAGGACTGTGGTGGAGGACTCCGCTTCATCCCAAGACATACTGGCCTGATCAACAATTCCGTGATAGTTCTTGACTTTGTGTCTCACGTGAATTATACCTTTGAAATAGAAGCCATGAATGGAGTTTCTGAGTTGAGTTTTTCTCCCAAGCCATTCACAGCCATTACAGTGACCACAGATCAAGACGGTAAGTGCCACTGCTCTTCTCTCAAAACAGATCCATAATTCCCTTCTGATGCATAACAGTCTTGGTGGACCTATATTTACTAAAGTGCAATTGTATTCTCTATACATTACAGAGGCGATTTTCTGGTTGTTGTTTCTTGTTGTTTCCTAAGGTGCAGAAAGATATTTTTGATGTTTCTTCTTAGTAGTATGTTAATTAGATTCATAAATGTATAAACAACAGTGCTTCTCTCTGTTGTTTATACATTTATGTTGTTTATATAATCCTATATAATCCAATATATCTTAATGTGTCAGTTCATATCACTAATGAATGTTAGACATAAAAAATATTAAATGAATAGAAGTTGTGTGGCCCCAGTTATGCTGCCATCCCTTTTCCATATCAAATAAAGCAAATAGTAAGAATTTATGTTAATTGTAATTTATACCTATATAGTGAAAAGATTTTAGTCAACATACTTAACCTACTTAACTCTGAAAATAAATAGAAAACAATCCAGAATATGTCCAAATGCTGCTATTTAGGTACAGTTTATAAAAAGTAGTTAAACTATATATTTTTTTAAAAATACAGTTGCTTTCAGTTAAATGTTCTCTTTATAACGCTATAGATTTTTACCACAATGAAGTTAGGTGCAAATGCTCTTTTATATAAGTGTCTATTCTCTTTAATTCTTCCATAATAATAATATATTGCAGAATAATAAAGGAAAAGCTTCAGAGATTTTAAAAATTCCCTTTGAAAAGCATTCATAAATTATGTGGATACACAAATGATTCTCTTATGGAAGAATGCATTGTTGCATATGAATATACATATGAAACAAATTTATAAAGATAAAACCATGTTCATACACTGTATTTATTCTTCTAGGTCTGTTATAACAGATGCCATAGACTAGGGGCTTGAACAACAGAAATTTATTTTCTCACAGTTCTGGAAACTAGAAGTCTGAGATCAAGGTGTCAGCAGGGTTGAACTCATTCTGAAGCCTGTCTCCTTGGCTTGTGGATAGCCATTTTCTCCCTGTGTCTTCACATGGTCTTTACTCTGTGTGTGTCTGTATCCTAGTCTCTTCTTCTTATAAGGTTATTGTCGTATTGGATAAAAGCCTACAATGTGATTTTATTTTACCTTCATTACCTCTTTAAAAACCCTGTCTCCAAATATGGTCACATTCTGAGGTACCAAGGTTAGGACTGAAACTTGAATTTTGGGAGGATGCAGTTGAGACCATAGCATGCACTTAAAGCAATATATATTGATATTTTAAATAAAAGTACATTGAAAGTGTTTGAATATAGCTAAGCAATTAAAAGACAATTGATACAAGCTCCTGGATTAACTTTAAGGACACAGTGGTGAGTATGAAAGCCAATCTCAAAAGTTGGCATACTGTAGGATTCACTTGTATAGCATTCTTGAAATAACACAATTGGAGAATTTATTAGTGCCTGGGGACTAGTGATTAGTAGAGAGATGTGAATCTATAATTATTGGGGGAAGGGGTTTAAAAAGCATTGCTAAACCTATAAAATGTGCAGGAAGAAATTTTAATATTCTACTAAAACGTATTTGAAATGATTGACTATTTTATTCAAAATATTATCTATAAGTTCACATTGCTGATGTCTTCAGAAATGCATCGAATAAATAAAGCAAAGACAGATAGTATCACACAATCACCATCTTTGCCTTTACTATGCAATTTTCCCCTTTATTTAACAAATAGCTCTACATCATAGAAGTTGCTTTACAGTTGTTCAAAATGGAATTCCTATTTCTTCTTTCCCATAATATCAACAAAATCTTGCCAAATGTACCTTCAGGATAAAACAGATTAGGATCTTCTGTTCCTCTCTGCTTTAGCAGATTATTTCTAAGGCTCTTTTGCTGCTACCTAATAAAAAAAATACATCCCAGCATAACTATTCTTAACTCTAGTGTATAAATAATTGTGTTAGTATAAAAACAATATATCTACAAATAAAATGTGTATGTTAATATGCATCATAATTTCATACAAACATATAGCAGCCTTTCATTCTGGGATTAGAAGAAAGTTTACTTAATGTACTTTTCCACTTAGCAAAAGATAGAATATAAATTATCACTTCAAAAATTAGGGAATTCATTAAAAGTGTATTGCTGTAAAAACAGAAGGTATATTAAGCATGGAATAAGTTATAATATCTATATATTGAGACTATACACTTTAAAAGGATAATATTGTTAAGCAATCTTCCCTAATAAATTTATCTTGAAGAATGTTAAGGAGCGATTATTCCTAATGTAATTTGACTATTTTAAGGTATGATTAGTAATAAAAAAGATCAACATATTTTTAAATTTTATTTGGAAAATGTATAAAAGTCCAAAATTGAACTAAAATATTGCCACGCATAATTAAATATTATGACAAGCCTTACATGCCTGAGTGACAATCTCCATGTCATAATTTTTTAGAGAAACCAAGAAGCCCCTATCTCTTTGTGTCTGAAGTTCTGACATTAGAGACTCACATCTTGAAAAAATGCAAATGCTCCAGGCAACGATAACATTATGAAACAATTCATCTGTGGATGTATCAGTTGTTCTTTTTATATCAAAAGAGGCCAGATCCTAGTTGGGTAAAAGAGGAGCTTATAGAAACTGGAATGTTCAAGAACCAAACTTCAACTGTTGTCATAGTATACCAGCCTTGAAGAGATAATACTTTTATAGCTACAGGTACAGGAAGGTTTTTCTGATTATTTCACTTGGTTATCTTTGGAAATTCTCTTTGAAGTGCATGAGAGGCATTTTTTTCAAAGTTATTTGATAACACATTACAATTTTATTAGACTGGAGGGACCACAGTAAATGATTTGTTTCATTATCTATAGGTTACATATTATTGTTTTTATACTAAAAAGCAATATGTGCTATTCATACACCTTTAATTTGTTCAACAGATGAACAATGGTGAGTGAGTCCTTATAAACCTTAACCTCTGGTGGGGAGGCAGATAATACATAAGTAACTTGACAATTATGTAATTAGTACTGTGGTTAAGTCCTACGAAGGAGAGAAGCTCAGGATATTTGAACAGCACATATTCTCCAGGTCCGGAGGATAAGGGCTGCTCTTTCTGAGGAAACAACATCTAAATTAAGTTCTGTGCTAAGAGATGACTAGAAGGTGACTAGGAAAAATGAGGCTGGAAGAAGGGAAAGAATTTTAAGTAGAAGGAACCAAGGAAAGGTTGAGCAGTTGGGGGATGAAGCATTGACAACTAATGTATCAAGAGCATGTAAGTAGTTCGTCTATTGCAGAGGTACAGAAGGATTTGAGGAAGGAACTGGAGATTTAAATCAAACTTTGGAGAAATTAATGGGTGTCTGCAAATTAGCCAAGACAAGTTAGAGAGTCAGCATTTATCAGAAAATCCTGGTATATTATCAGGGCCACAAGTAAGGAAAAGAAAATCGGCATCATAATAATATTGTTCATGAGATGACCCTCATATGAGTAAGGAAATAAAATATTATAGACCAAAATATGTAGACAGTTGTGTGAATTATGCTTTCACTGCTCAATATATGCAGTGTGAAGGATGAGGATAAAGAGGAAGTTTACCCTGAATTACCTCTTCATCCATGTAATCATTTCTCATATTTAAGAAATATTAAGGAAACTACATTAAACAACCTTGACTTAATTGTTTATTATCTGTTTACAATAAAACAAATGTAAAAAAACGTTTGCCAAATCACTTAGAACCACTTAGCTGTAGTTGTGTGAAACATTCCTTGATTATTCTGATTCTAGTTGGATAAATAAGATTTTAGATTTAAGACTGTGACTCTCATAATTAGAAATCTTTGCAATAAACCTTAATTAACTGACTCCTATAACCCCTAAGAGCTATATTTGTAACCTTCTATTTTCTTAGTTTATTTAAATAGTCTTTCAAGGTGTTTCATTTAGAGATCAAAACAAGAAAGCAACAAATAGAAAATACTGGATTTTAATCTTCAGTTCATGATAGGAAAACTAAGGTGTGTAGTTCAATAAAAGGGATTATTCTGGCCAGAGACAGTAAGGGAAACGTTAATCATGGAGAGTCACCCTGAGACAAATTTTGTTTGTAGATATTCTGACATGTGCAAAAACCTTTAGGGGCCATGTTCAGAGTAAGAGACATGCTGAATTACAAACCAATTCTGCTGATGTTTGCTAAAGGGTCTTTAAAGTAATTATTGTCTGAAGCAGATTGTCCAATTCATTGGCTTCTTAAAATATGCACTCAGCACTCCAATCTGTGCAATTGGGTGATTATTCTGTATAGGTCTTGCCTTAGGCTCACGTTTTGATTGCACATTTCACATATTTGCTCATGAATTAATTGAACTGACACTGAAATAGATGAAAATCAAAAAAGTATTCATATATTTATAAATGTAATATGTATATTTAATTTACAGTTCACTGCCTTTAGGTAATACAGTCTATTTCAAATGCCAACATTTTGTACATTGCTGGAGTAGGTAACTAGGGACACTGTAAACATACATGCATCTTTATATATGTATTTTAATATATTTTATTTCTGGATATTTCTCACAGTCTGCATTGTGTTTTCAAAATTTTGACAGCAAATATTTTGTTTTCTAAAATCTGTGCATCTATTCAAAGTAAAAAAAAAAATGTATAAAAGTTTTAAATGCTCACCAAAATACACTGAATATAAGCCAGTGGCATGATAAGTTGAAGAAGGCAATAACCATAATTTAAAGTAGCAGATACGCTGTACTATTTGTATTTTTTATATCTCTTAAACATAAGAAAATTGCATGTTTAAAAACTACAGACAACCTACATTGAAGAGCAAAATTTTCCTGTCTCCACAAGAAAAGTCGTTACTCTTCTGAAAGGTGCACTGAATATTTTATTTATGGACGATAATTGAAATGTCAGTTAGTTAATCATAACTAAATAACTTTATGTTCCATCCA